TCCACTTCTGAACAAAGATTTCCAGCATAGATTGTCTTATAGAAGGGATATTTGTAATAGTTTCCACATTTGGGAAGCGGGTTGGCTACCGCAATTTTTTTTATAGGATAGGGTGACAAACGAGCACACAGTCCATCTGATGGTAAGTGGTTGCTGTGGCCCATAGACATTTATCTTCGTTTGCGAATCAAAATGCAGATACGTTGTCACCCGTGAGGACTAAGATGGAATGCCTCTTATCCAGTATAAAGGATCTCCGGTTCTCTACACTCACCATACAAACACAGCAGTGTTAAGCTGCTATTTAACGCTGGTATTCTGTGAGAGCGTGGTCCTTCCCCGGTCGAGCCGACCCATTTCGTGCTACAACTATACTACTAATATAGCTGCGGCATGGCTCTACTACGTATAAAAATTGATTCTCAATCAATTCAAGATTCAATTGAAAATCGCATTAAACAAATTATCAGTCGGACAGAGTTTATGTAAAATCATACAGCTCCAGTCCTTGGAGCATTGCTAAGCTCTAGTCACTTGTTGTCGGCATTTCAAACAAATTGGCATTACATACAAAATATGCTCTGATACACGCATAGTCAAGGAGACGGTAGTAAATCACACTACCATCTCAGAAACCACAGGAAACGAAGCAACAATGACAGCGAAGGACTGAAGGCACGTACCGTTGATTTATAATTATAAAGGGACCGCGATTGACCTACCGCAACCTGCAACTGTCTACTCTTTACTTTCTACACGGTAGCGTTCATTTTAAGTCGTACGTGAGTTCACTCCGCACGAATTATACACGTTTATTTACTGCTCCTGTACTATTTCTTTACAAATAATCTTTATAGCGTATTGTTTGACAATTAAAATGATAAAATAAAATATTTGAAACTTTTTTTCAAAAAACCTGAACATAAAAAAATAAATTAAAAAAAATTTGCGAATTGTATGTGGTTTTATTACCTCTGCATTATCCCAAAAGAACCCCCTTCACCGATGCTCGTGTCAGTTAGAGGTAATAAAAAACCACATACAATTTGCAAATTAATTTTTTTTAATTAAAATTATTTTTTTAATGTTCAAGTTATTTGAAAAAAGTTATATCTTTACGTTTGAATACTGACTTTGATAACGCACTTATCGGGAACCACATGGTTTTGTTACATGTTTGACTAAATCTAGCACAAGAAAACAGTTTCGCTATTCACAGTCCGTGGGAGAAGCAACAGCGCCCTGCGCGTGATAGCAGGAAAGAATAGCTCTCTGATTGGAAAACGCATACAGAGGGTTAAACCCCTATGTGTTTAAATACTAACATAGTCATTTTTAGATTACAGTGTAGTGGCGGTGTAAGAATATCCACTACCCTATATCATCCCTTGGGTGTCAGAGGAGACAGAGGGAAACAAATTAGGAAATGGTCAGCAGTGCCTCCCTAAAACGACTAAAAATAAAAATTGCGGTTGCCAACCGTGCCAAACGTGGCAACTATGCCAAATATCCCCTATGAGGCAATCTATGGAGGTGGCCTATGTTCAGCAGTGGACTTTAGGCTGTAACGGTATAGTCATTAAGTTTTTTTATGTCTACTAGGTAACACCGATGGACCCTTATATTGTCTGAACAAATGAAAAAATATGTTATAAAACTATTACATTACTCAGAAACGTCACTAGTAACGGTTTTCGCACTTCCTATCACTTCTTATTAAAGGCAATCATTGCCGCTTCAGCTAAATTAGTACTTACGTAGTAACTTCTCATCTGTGTTAGTACTTTGTACAACTCATACACTGCGTTTGCTAGATTTAAATTAATGGATGCACATTTAATGCATATGAGTGTATGTGATTTATTAGAACTGTTTCAAAAGGCTTGGTATGCAGCAGGCAGCAAGCGTACTTCTATGATGTAATCGAACAGCTATTCATATGTTACTAGTATAGATTGCCGATTGGAGTTGTAATTAATTGTAATTTAGGTACCTCGCATAGAGCCGGAGCGGTATCAGAGGCTGCTGAACTAAGTAAGTGCCGCAAATATGAGTATCTAATAAATGACTGTTCCGCGTGCGGTAAATATCCTAAAGGAACTTGAGAGAGGGGTGGTTCTTTTTTCGTTCAAAGCCTAAGTATAATTCAGCGAGAAAACGCAGCCAGCGTCATTTGAGCTATACCCGGGGGAGTAGGACTATCATTTATAATATGTTTTTAGTTTTAGTTATTTTTTTAATTATAAATATTGTATATTTGAATGTTATATAAGTAACTGACTGTAATTCATATTTTAAATTATAAAATTTATAGAAAATCTTCCCGTTATATTTTTATCAATCGTGTATTAATGTAATTAGAACGTAATAAGCATGAGTATATTACATACTTAACGAGCAATTTCACACTGTAAATTTGTAACCTATAAATATCCCATCTAGCTGGCTTGGGCCTGAGGGTATTGTAAAATGGAATAAGTAATTCGCCACGATGCTCCACCGTAAGTTTGAAGACTCCGTGTCTTGGATTTTTTTCCCTTAAACTTACATGTTTCCTCACGACGTGTTTCTAAATCGAACCATTAGTAAATTATTGTTTAAAGTTGCAATTAATAATTTTATTGGTGCTGTCACCAAGTTTAAACTTTATACTGCACGTGTAATATAAATTGGTAGCGAACGCTTGGCCCTTTGCTAACGACTCAGGACCATGAAACTATTTTAATCCAGACATCATCTTTAACAACAAACCATTAATTAATTATAGCCCAAGATTTTAATAGTGAATGCATCAATAAACTTTCATTAAAATGACAAAAGTGTTTCATCAATACTGGCCGATAACTTAATCAATTAAATATCTAAAAAGAACAGACAGTCGCCTGATTAAGGCTGCGCACTGCAAATTCAGAAAGTCATAGATTCTAGAAGCTTCCTAGAGTGGTTAACGCGAGTGTAAGCAATGTTAAGATAGTCACTAGTATTCATTTATTTAAAAAAAGAACAATATAATTTGAATCAAAACTCATTAATTTTTTTCCGTATAAAAATTCTACCTAAGTAAGAAGCTAATAGACGGGACACGCTTCTTATTAAAATTAAAGCAATAAATAAGTTGGGACGCATGTAAATGCAAACACGTAATCACGTAACGAAAAGGTGACGAAGCTTGCGTTCGACTTACGACTAGGATTACCAAGTCGCTGAAAACCAGGGAGAAAAAAAAATTAAAATAATGTTATGTTAATCACAGGCATAATAGGTATGGAAACAAGGATTGCGAAAATATCTAGGGGATACCACAAAAAATTGGTAAGTTAAGATAATATTTCTAGAGGAACTATTACCGTTCTTGTTTATTCAAAGTTAAGTATAGTCAAATAAAAAACAATTAGACCGGAAATGCAGCCAGCATTCTTGGCACTATACCGTTGGAAAAAGGTTATGATAACTACATTATAAATTTTTATCGTAACGTAAATACTAAATATATTACGACACTCGGTAATACAGTTGTTAAGCGTTTACCTGCTGAGCCGCGGATCGCGAATTCAAATTCTGTACAGAACCACTACTTGTATGGCCTACAAATAATTGCTCCGGGTCTGGATGTTGGTAGTGTGCTATTTACGCAAATATAACACCTCCACAATAGATAAAAATACCTAGTGCGAAAATATCGACGTTAAAAGTATTAGATACAAAATATAGACAAGAATTGGCCACCCTAGTTCCGACCGCCCGCGACGTGTCAGCCGGTTGACATTAGCAAATAAACATTCCAGTGCTCTACTTTAAGACAATGTCCGGTCGCATGCGGAAGGTATAGGGAAGCATTGTATTACGGTTCTAGCGAAATATGTTTTATTATTGTGTAGTTGAGATATTCAGTAAATTTTTAATCGTTTGAGAAGATACAATGGAATAAAGTCTACATTGAATCAAGACAAGGGCTAAAAGAAGTAGAAGTAGGTTTTTTAATTCTATACAGAGTATAAATCATACTTATTGAAAGTTATTCTGATGTTTAATTTACCACTGGGTCCACTGCTGATCATATGACTTTCCAAAAAATGCCTCATTAGAGGCATACTTGCCATAGTTGCCACGCTTGGTAGGTGGGGTTGGCAAGCGCAGTTTTTATTTTCTAGTTATAATCAAAAAGACGCTATTACCCGTCTCCACCTTTGTTTCCCTCTGTCGCCTTACGACACCCACGGCATGATATTCATACACCGCCACTTCACAGTACCGGTGTAATGATATACTCGTATATTATCTCTTTCGTTTTATCTTTGACATAATATTGTAATAGGTACGTTGCGTATGCAGAGGAAACTATTGAGTTATTCTGTAGAATACTTTAAGTGGAGGAAGTGATTTCCTCAAGTGCCGTAGCCTAACATTGGTTGTATCATAACTAGGTTTACCATAAGTTCAAATTTTACAGGACATTTATTGTAATATAATAAATTGTATATTAATAAATTAATGCATGTTATGTTTACGTCTCTTATTCCGTATTCCATAAAATGAAAGGATCAGATTCAAAGGAGTTAATGACAATAAATCCGACCTTGTTGGATCTGTACGAATCAAAAAAGTGTTCATCATTATTTTGTTTTATTTTTTTGTCTAAAGACTTATAACAAATTATTTCGGGTTTTTATCAGGAAGATACTGCTCGGCTGCCCATCACCTATTTGATGTTGCCTCTTACAACACCCACAGATTGATCATCCTTATCATCATTACAGCCCCTCACAAGTCCACTGCTACACATTGGCCTCCCCCAAGGAAAGGCACAAAGCACGGTACTGAGCCTCCTTCATCCATCGGCCGTCGAATCCGTGGAATGGATTCTTATAAGCGATACAAATCACGGCCGTACTTTAAACATTATTAGTTTAAATACAATAAATTAGATAACTTTAAAGTCAACCATTAAATCAACCAACAAAACGGCAGGGTATTACGCACAAAATATTCTGAACACAAACCTGGAACAGCAGGTACCCGGAGTCGTACATCCAAAAGTCATCGGGCGCGTTGCCCGGCTTGCTGAGGTGGATCGCCAGGCAACGCTGCAGTATCAGCTGGCAGCGCTGCCCGCCCGCTCCGCGACCACTCATGCCTTCACGCGGGCGGCGGCATGCTCTGTAAAAGAAAATGCTGTTATAAAAGTGCACATTTTTCATAGGATCACGCTCTCACAAAATACTACTTTAATATAGCAGCTTAATGCTGCTGTGTTTCGTATGGTGAGTGTAGAGAACCGGAGAGCCTTTTTACTGCAAACGAGGCATTCCATCTTAGTCCTCAGCAGTGACAACGCATCTGCATTTTAATTGAGGATAAATGTAAATGTCTATGGCCCACAACATCCACTTACTGTCGGGTGGACTGTGTTCTCGTTTGTCACTCTTATTGTATAAAAAAATACTATATTTTTTTTATTTATACATTAAAAGCGAATGAATGAACGAAATATTTATTCGTTACTTTACAAAAACTTACGTCAAAAAGACAAAAAAAAAACACTTGAAGAAGTTAATATAATAATAATCCAAAAATTAAAAAAAATTAAAATTACCATAATTTTATTCTCTTTAGTTCCTGAAGCCGGTATTTTTTTTTTAAATAAAAAGACATATATGTACCTATTATAAATTCGCGTGTCGTAACTATAACGATTTGTAAGAATATCCACTACCTCATATCGTTCCGTGGATATCGTAACAGGCAACCGAGGGAAACAAACCAACTGCGGTGCCAACCCACCCGCCAAGCGTGGTAACTAGCCAAGATCCTCTGAAGCAATGTATAGGGAATGTCTGTTTTCAGCGGTGGACTTCTGCTCGACTGTAACGGATACCCGCGGGACGAATTGGGTAATGAATTGTCTTCCACAAACACACGGCTTACCAAATAAAACTAATTTATCCTTGAACTTATCTATACAAATAAATAAAATGAACTGTCTGTTGGAATTGTCAAAATAAAAGCTTTTTACTAAATGCATTTATGTTTTTGTTTTAAGTACCGTATAATACATACGGTAAAAACACAAGTTATAAAATTTTTGTTTGTCTGTTTGTTCCTGCTAATCTCCAAAATGGCTGGACCGATTTTGACGGGACTTTCACTGGCAGATAGCTGATGTTATAAGAAATAACTTAGGCTACTTTTATTTTAGAAAAATAATTAAGGTTCTGCGCAAAAAAATTAAAAACCCTAAATTACACGCGAACAAAGTCGCAGGAAACAGCTAGTTGTAATATAAATTAAGAAACGGGTTAAACTAATAAATAAATCCAATAATAGCATGATAGGACCGCACCGGAAAACGTACATATAGTGATGCTAAAACCGCAAGTACATCCGGCAATTTAACGGCTTCTTTGTGCCAAGTAATAACTGTTGTACGAAACCTAAAAATTAGTGACCTATTTTGTAGAACAAGCGCCATTCGAAAAGCCATAACAAAGAGTAAAACATCTAAGACAATGCTATGAATAATTTTAAAAAGCCGAATACAATCGTGGGACCCTTGACATGACAGTTGTGGAGCAAGGTGACATTAGAAACGTACTGCGTAAACGATGTCCTTTCACGGCCCTAACATTATTTAAAGAAACGATATTTGCAGGTAATATTAAATTGTCTTCGGTGACTTAAATGTGCAAACATTAATACATTTATTACAGTTTGTCATAAAATTTGAATTGATTACGAATTAAATAAAATTATTGCCCGATTTGGCTGTTTCAATGACAGAGTTATCTTTTATTCTATAGATTAAAATTATAAACAGATTATGGCAACAACTATTCCCTACACTTGGAGAGGTCAGTGGACTTTTACGAGCCGGGAATAAAGAGGCGTTTTACATATATGCGAGTACGTACATCAATTTCACATGGACAAACATCCTCACCAGATAATTTTTAAGGTTATTTCCTGCAGGATTCGAACCTGTATCTTGCAGCACAGCGCTACTAAGCCGCCAAAATATCTTATAGAGCCTTTAATTTTAGATAATACGGCTAACACCATACTCTTACAGGTTATAGAAGTAAATAACTTTTTCAAATACAGTAGCTGTACCAAAAAAGGAGGACATAAATCAAACATCATCGCGGAAGGCGAATAATTATATAAAGCGACATAATTTTCAGTGTCTCAAGTAACAGCTTTTAGCGAGCCCATTTCCATAATCGGAAACTCAACCGCACTTCATATCTCGTTAACAGAGCCCGGTGCGTTCAGGTCCGATCTTATTACATCGTTATTAATGTTAAAATCGTTTATTTTAAAAGCAGTTATGCACTTGTTGTGATGCAAGGCAAATGTTTCGCTGTGGACACGACAACTTTACCACCGTGCGGCTACAATGGCGCTTGGTCGCGTTACATAAGTTTGCTTGAGTTAGGACGTTGGGAAGAGATAACACTTGACGTGGAAACGTACGTTAATGGTAACTTCATTAGCATTTAACTTCAAAAAGGTAGTAAATAAATGTCATTCGTAACAACTGAATTTAAATTAGATCATTAGTGGTATTGTTACATAGTAAGTGCCGATAAGTGTAAGCAATAAAACGCACAGTTTGTCTCAGATAGAAGCTATTATTTGGTATCTAGAACTGTTCGGCTTTAACGACTAATATGTCCTCTGTCCGTATTTTATTGCTTATAATACTATCAGAACGAAATGGTAAACAGCCTATATAGACCCATTAAGTATCTTGACTACTTTGTGGTCATATCATTTAGAATATAATTTTTCCAAGACGTTTAGATGTTTTCTTTTACACACACAACTTACAATTATCTGACACAGACGTCATAATACATAAACGTCAACTGAGCAAGTCTCAGCATAAACAGACTAAGAATGACAGTACAAGAGGCAGATTGCAGTTTGAAGGGGTGGTATCTGGTACTAAAACTAGGTACTAATGATATCGACAAATCCTCCCAGCTTTTAAAAGACTAATATCCAACAGGAGGGTTATTGCAAGCTTAATATGTCACATAGGTTACGAACTCTATGATAGAAGTAAAATAAAATTAAAACCGTTTTAATTTATGGTTTGGAACATTAAAGGTTTGTACTAATCTTTGGAAATGAACCGATCGCACTATACATATAACCGTGGCGACTCTTTCTTGCTCCATAGCTCAGATAAGAGGCCAATGCACAACAGAAGCATGAGAAGAGAGTGTTTGATGCACACCAGCTGCGGCACATTCTGCACACATTTTGAGCAGCCACCACTATCAATGTGATTTTATTGTGTGTTTGGCTTCATCAACACATAATAACGGATGTAAGTTTAAAAGAAATACAAAAGCGTAAGTTTGTCATGCACGTCAATCCCACTACATCCTTAGACGTATTTAAGCATTTATTATTAATTAATCATAAAAAAGTATATATATAATGATATACCGTTATTGCAGTTTTTGAAAATACGAGTAAATAAGGCTTTTAAATTTATTTGAAATTATCCCAAATATAATGTGATTTATGGGCAACAAATACTTGTACGTGCACTTCTCTGTGTCTGATTCCATTCACAACGTTTTCGCCGATCGGGTGACCTTTACCAAAGAATATATATACACTACGCGAACCTTTACGAATGTAGACGTTACATATTTTATGAATGACAATCAGTTAAAAAAATGCATTACCACGCATTTAGAATTTAAAAGATAAAAACGACAGTCTGAGAATTTTTTAATTAATTTTTCTACACCATTCGCCTGTTTTACAATAATCAAATTTCTTTGCAAATTTGGCCGTATATCTATACAAATAAATAAAATTGAAGTGTCTGTTTGTAATGTCAAAATAACAGCTTTTTACTAAATCCATATGAAAGTATATATACTTATAACAAAAATACAATTTTTAAAATTTTTGTCTGTCTGTCTGTCTGTCTGTTGTGAGTGAGATGAATGTACTTTAATTTAGTACGATCCTGACATACCTCTCGCTCTTCTTTCATATCGAAACCAGCGACGAGAATCGTCAACCTGCACGTTATATCTATCTTCCAGAGGGGCGAGAAGTGGATGCCCGCTTAATATAAACTTACTTAAAAGTTGACTATCCATAATAGCCCTGTTTCTTCGACCTCCGCGTATATCTTGTAATGAGCGAAAATGTTCAGTTCCCTGAAGATATATCTGCATTCAAACAGCATCATAATTGAAATATTAATCCCAAGGTAATATCCTTCGCATCATCTGTTAGTACTGTAATATCGTGACACGTATGCGGGTCATCAGCTTAATTGGTGTCTTTAATTACTGTCTTGTTCCATAATAGTACACGATCGTTATTTTTGTACCGAGTTCAATAATATAACTCTATATATGTGTACGGATAGCGACGGTGAAAAGAGGATTTCCTTATTTGGTCTACTGGAAGACAAGTCGCGTCCCGTGCCGGGTTTTATATTGTTCTACGATAATAAGCTACAATATCATTACGCATAGAGTGTATAATGTAGGAAAGCAGGACTTGTGCGGATGTAACGTGACATAAAACCAAGGCCAGTGTTTCTTTAATGCGGTATGATAATACGGCGTTAAACGAAGTTTTAATTAATATTGATAAACTTACTCTTTCTTACTTATTTATAGCTTCTTTATTAAACTTTAAGATGTTACACTTTTAAAAAAACTATGAGATGTTAAAATGAATAGCAAAGTTAATACCGTATTGGTAGGTATCCCATCATCTGATGAACCGGTAAAGAATATATTGATTTAAATAAAATCAATAATAAAAATCTTGCTTTTAATAGATTTATATTTGCATATAATGTAAGAACTAAATGATTAAACAAAATTTCTATGTTGAAAGATGAATGCAAATAATTAATGTTGTGTGATGAAGTCTTGAACCGTTATGACCGATTGTTCATCCGTTCAAAATTCAAATTTTTGACAGGCCCGGGCTTGTAACAATTGCGTTTTGATATACGGTAGAACGCAACAATAACCGAGTAGTAGAAGGATAAGAATATGCTCTACGCAGAGGCGTAGCTACCGCCGTATCAGCCGTATCGATATACGATACGAGACCTCCTGCAAGGGCCCCGAACGTATATAAGCAA